TATATATATATACAGTGCTGCTTAAAAGTTTGTGAACCCTTTAGAATGGTCTATATTTCTGCATAAATATAGCCTGCAACATAATCAGATTTTCACACAAATCCTGAAAGTAGACGATGAGAACCCAGTCGAACAAATGAGACAAAAAAATAATAATTCTTTGTCATTTATTTATTCAGGAAAATGATCCAATATATCTGTGAGTGGCAAAAGCATGTGAATCTCTAGGATTTGCTATTAATTTGAAGGCTAGAAAAGGTTACAAAGTCATCCCTATAAAGAGTTTGGACTCTACAAATCCACAGTCAGACAGATTGTGTACAAATGGAGGAGATTCAAGACCACTGTTGCCCTCCCTAGGAGTGGTTGACCAAAAAAAGATCACTCTGAAAGCAAGATGTGTAATCCGCAAGGTTGCGAAGGAGCCCAGGGTACCTTGTAAGCAACTAAAGGCCTTTCTCACATTAGCTAATGTTAATGTGTATGAGTCCATCATCAGGAGAACACTGAACAGAACAACCATGGTGTGCATGGCAGAGTTGCAAGGAGAAAGCCACTGCTCTCCAAAAAGAACATTGCTGCCCATCTGCAGTTTACTAAAGATCATGTGGACAAGCCAGAGGACTACTGGAGAAATGTTTTATGGATGGATGAGACCAAAATAGAATATTTTGGTTTTAATGAAAATCACTATGTTTGGAGAAAAGAACACACTGCATTCCAGCATAAGAACCTTATCCCATCTGTGAAACATGGTGGTGGTAGTATTATGGTCTGTGCCTGTTTTACTGCATCTGGGCCAGGACAGTTTGCCATCATTGATGTAACAATGAATTCTGAATTATACCAGCAAATTCTAAAGGAAAATATCAGGACATCTGTCCGTGAACTGAGTCTCAAGAGAAAGTGGGTCATGCAGATCATTGATGTAACAATGAATTCTGAATTATACCAGCAAATTCTAAAGGAAAATATCAGGACTGAGTCTCAAGAGAAAGTGGGTCATGCAGTAAGACGGTGACCCCAAGCACACAAGACCATTCTACCAAAGAATGGTTAACCTCTTAAAGAAGAACAAAGTTAATGGTTTGAAACGGCCAAGTCAAATTCTGGACCTTAATCCAGTTGAAATGTTGTGGAAGGACCTGAAGCGGTTCTGTACTGAGGAATGGTATAAAACTCCTTCAAGATGTTGTGCAGGACTGATCAGCTGTTACCAGAAAAGTTACCTGCAGTTATTGCTGCGAAATGGAGGTCACACCAGATACTGAAAGCAAAGATTCACATACTTTTGCCACTCACAGATATGTAACACTGCATCATTTTTCTCAGTAAATAAATAACAAAGAAAATATTTTTTCTCATTTGTTTGATTGGGTTCTACTTTGTCTACTTTCAGGACTTTTGTAAAAATCGGATGATGTTTTGGGTCAAATTTATGCAGAAATACAGAAAATTCTAAAGGGTTCACAAATTTTCAAGCAGCACTAGCACTGTGTGTGTGTGTGTGTGTATATATATATATATATATATATATATATATATATATATATATAGTCAGTATTTAATTATTATTCACCTGCATTACATATTCTTCATTTAATAACTCGCTTTGGATAAAAGCAGCTGGTAAATTAATATAAATGTAATATATAGCAGATTAAAGCTGGCCATGTTGTTTGGGGCCCACTGTAGTCTAATCCAGGCTCTTTCAGCTAATCAGATAGAAAGAAAGCAGTTATAACAGATGGGCTGCCTTGCTTGTTAATTTTTTTCTTCTGTGGAACAGTATTTGGCGAGGAGGCTCGGGTTCGATACTATTTGGTTCGGGTATCTGCAGACCACAGTTGGAGTGATTCAGCTGCTCGGAGGCCCTATTTATGGAAGGTAAGCAGTCAGAACTCATCTGTGTATGGTGTGTATGGAAATTGGATAAATATGTGTCTGTAATTACGTGTGCCCAATGAGACTTACTCATTTATTTAATGTCTTACTTCAGTTATAGGACTTAAAATATAGGTGATGTATGATATAGTGATTTATTTTATTCACATATGTCATTGTGTCTGTTTTCAGGTTTGCAGATGTGTTCGGAGCACGCGCAGCTCTCTCTGTGTCTTGCTTGGCATCAGTGGTTTATTTCCTACTGTTAACAGTGGCAGACAACACTTTTATGCTTTTCGTGCACAAACTACCTGCTGTTTTCATGCATGGACTACCAGGTAACACATGCTCATACACCCTTACATATGTGTAACTCAAACACACTGTATAGGTACGTGAGTACATTTGTATCCGTGTGTAGGAGCTCAGATGGTGGTTGCAGATCTGTCAGAGAATGAGAAGCGAGCAGATGCTCTTGGGAAACTCGGCCTCTGCTTTGGCATTGGCATGATCGCAGGATCATCACTGGGTGGGACCCTCAGCACACGCTTTGGGTAGGACACACTACACTACGCTTCCTTCAGAAAGCATTCTAATATGCTGATTTGACATTAATATTTTTTCCTGGATTATTTGATGAATACAAATTCAAAAGAAACTCTGAGTGCTTTTGTCTACTTGTACAAAACGTTACCATTTGATCACTGGAAAAACGGCATTTTTCCATTTAAACCTAATCATGTTGTTTATCACATGAAGATAAAATGAAAGCAGCACTAAACCAGTAAAACAGAATTTAAATGCCAATGGTTATGTGTTTTGCAGGGAAAAGTTTGCAGCATCTTTTGCGGCTGTCGGAAGTTTTGTTTCTTTGCTGTTGGTGTTGAACTTCATCCCTAAACAGACTAAAATACAAACCATGCCAGAGAGTAACAGTATGACATAAACAAACACACAACTCACCTAGACACAGAAGGAATTCTCTTGCTGTAGCCATTTGTAACTTTATTATATAAAAGTCTTATATTAAGAATCTGATTATAATATATTATATATACTATTTTTTTACAGCATTACAAATTTTATATATTATTAAATGTTATTTATATATTATATATACATTATATATTATATATTTATATAATGATTATTATCATTTTTATTTTTGTTTAGAGAAGGGATCATCAAATTCCGTGTTTAATCTGGGGGAGATCACTAGACTGATGAAGTTTCCAGGTGTTGCAAAGACTTTTACAGTGAAGATTATTTCTGGATTGCCAGCAGGTGAACCCACAACTATTGCCATTAGTGACTTTAAATGTATTTAAACACCCCTAAATTGCAAACATACTTAAAGTTGACCATCTAAAGTTCATCATCTATTTTCTAAATGCATGTTATTGATCTTATTGTGAACAATTAATAATGCATACAATAAGTTTAAAAAAAATGACCTTTTGAATGAAGATACATTTATAATTAAAATGTCAAAACTGTCAAATCTTTCGGTAAAATGACAGACTTCTCTCTGGTGATGTATGCTGGACTTCTCTAATCATTTAGTCTGCATATCCCACCCCTTTCTTACAATCGACTGCACGCTCGCATTCAGATATGCCTCCAAATCAAAATAACCGATGAGTGGAGCCCCCACATTTGATAATCTGTTTTCTCAATGTACCTAACAAAACAGAAGAAAAAAATCTGTCCATAATTCGGTTTCATCACGACTTTAAATGTTGTCTTGTGTTTTGTTTGAAAAATCTCTATATGTCGGTTTTATTCTAGGTATATTTCAAGTTATGTTCTCCATCATTGCCATGAACTTCTTCCAACTGAAGGCAGAGCAGAATGGCTATCTGATGGCTTACTTTGGCATAGTACAAATGGTATAAACGCATGCACACTTCTTATCAATCACATGCCATATAAATAGTTTTGGATTTAAGCACTGCTGTACTGAGGCAACAAGTGACGCTGGTATCTTGCTGTTAATAAGGTAATCCAGGGTGCTGTAATTGGGCGTCTTACGTCTAGATTTTCAGAGTATTCTTTACTGCTGCTCTCTGTTGGGATATCCAGTTTAGTGGGCCTTGCACAGGTAAACTGATACTGCAAACAGTTCCCTTTTTTTTGTTTTAAATTAGTTGGATATTAGTTGTGTTAGTTAAACATGGAAGCTGGATTATGTGACTGGTCTCACAGTGTGTGTTAAATATATGTGTTTTGTGTGTTTTTCAGGCTATGATGACCAATGTATTTCATTTTTGTTTAATCGTAATGCCGATGATGTTTTCTCTAAGTGTCTTCAATGTCATCACAGATAGCATGTTGACCAAGAGTGTGTCTCCGTCTGACACAGGTAATCCACAAACACACATCCTAGACTGAAAAAGATGCCTTTGTGCATGAATGCAATACATGCATATGTATATACATTGTACACAATGCCCGAGGAGGAATCATTTTCCATGCAAATGTTTTCTTAATGCACTAAATGTAAAAATTGTTTGTGTGGTGTGTTCAGGAACCATGCTGGGTCTGTGTGCGTCGGTGCAGTCTCTTTTGCGAACTGTGGGCCCAACCATTGGAGGATTCCTCTATGAGACATACGGTGTGCCATCCTTCGGATACATCCAGTGTGTCATTAATGCTGCTGTCTTTAGCCTTCTACTAGCCACTGGAGGGCGCTCACAGCCACACAGACCATAAACATTGTGAAAAGGGTTGTTTCATGGCCACACTGTATGACAGAGGGCAGTTTACAACAAACCATGGGCATTGAACTTACCTCCTCGCACACTGGGGAAGGACTTAACCCAGCTGATCTCAGTTTTGTTAATACCACAAACATTCAAAATATCTTATGTGACTGTCAAGTTACTCCACTTTATATCACAGGTTAGCTCAGGAAGTTTCATATCTTAAAAAGGAGCTGGCATGTAAATGTCTACTGTAGGTCAGTAGAAAGAAGCGCAATATGCTTTTATCTGTATTATATTATAGAGTAATTATTCATTATAATAATGTTGCAGTTATAAGACATCATGAAAAATAACAAAATTCAAAATAGATCATTTTGCATCTGAAACTTCTTTGGGGTTTTTTTTTCTCTCTCTCCATATTTATCTTGTTCTTCTGCACTGCAACTCCTGCCAAGTTCTTCAAGATCCCCCAAACTGTGAGATTAAATGTGCACGTTTTATTATATGACACTTGCTCTAATGCTGGATGGCACCCCTTTTCAAATCTGGAGTGAAATCTGTCCACTCTTTTCCATGTTTAGCTTCACAGCACGTGCTTATTAGTCCAGCTGCACATGTTCACATCACTGGTACATAGATTCTGACTTTTACTCTGTTCATCACAACGAGGTGGATTTAAGTTTCCAAAAAATATTGTTTCAAGAATGTTCTTTATTAGGCAGACGTTAAGCAGAACGCACTAACAGCTTCAGTTAAAATTCACTTTGGTTGCATCTTTTTTTCATATAATTAAAGTCAGTGATGACCTCTAATTCTACCAAGTGCCTTCTTCTCTTGTGTTTCACAGAAGAAATGAAATTAAAGGGGTTTGTCATACCATGAAGATGAATGAGTAAATGAGGACAGAATTGTTTATTGTTATTGTTGCTATTATTATTAAGGAGAACGAATCTTTTAAAACCTTCATTAACTGTTGCTCGGGTATAGCAGTTGGATCAAAATGATTTTCTTTTTCACTATTATCATGAAAAAAGACAGAAATATCAACATTGAAGATTTCTTCCTGCAGCGGTGCCACCCGTTCTCTCGCTCTCTCTGTAGTTGTGGCTATTTAGTGCTGGTCATTAGCATATATTATGCAAATGACGGGCGAGCGGGCGACGGGCGACGGGCGTTATCTTCAGCACCTGAGATGCGCGCGGACACACAGGAGTGAGCGCGAGAAGCAGCTGCAGTCAGACGGGAATATGCGTCGGTAGTGGCCATCGGTGGAAGACTGACGGGAGAATCTCGTTCCATTTCAAGTGATTCACATGAGTCACGGATGGATCCTATTTTAACTCCCGGAAAGAAACTTGTTTTACTCTATTTATTATTCTTTATCTTAATATATCAAGGTAAGCAGCATGACGATGGACTGATGTAAATTAACTGATCATTATTTAGAGGACAAATACATGTAGATAATTCAATTGTATAATTAAGTTCTATATCATTGTCAAGGAAATAGTTGTATTACACTACATAAAACTTTTTGAAAAAAAATTATGATTAAGGTCTATATGCCTAAATTCCTTAATATATCAAGGTGAGTACACTCTTAAAAATAAAGGTGCTTCACGATGCCATAGAAGAACCTTTTTGTCTAAATGGTTCCATAAAGAACCTTTAACATCTGAAGAACCTTTCTGTTTCACAAAAGATTATAAAAAGGTAAGAAAGAGAAGGTTCTTTAAAGAACCTTTGACTGAATGGTTCTTTGTGGAACCAAAAATGGTATCGCTGTGAAGAACCTTTTGAAGCACCTTTATTTTTAAGAGTGTAGCAAGATGGTCTGTTAATAATTTCTTCTCTTAATTTCTATTTTTAGATTTTTTTTAAAATTAATTTACTGTATTAAAAAGTGTACGTAAAATATAATGTATAATTATACACATCTTATATATATATATATATATATATATATTCCAAGCGTTTATTAAGTTTTTGATACAGAAAAGTTTACATGTGGGAAAAAAAGATCTAGACGTATAGTGCAGCACTAATGTGATGATAATTTGTTTCTTTTCAGCACATATCACGTGGTGCACTGAAAGTCTGAATTTAACACACCAGCACGATTATGAGAAGTGAGTATTACTATATTTACTTTTATGTGTCTATCCGATGTGCGTCATGAATTTATATTTTCATGTGTTATTATTATTATTATTAATAAAAAAAATGTATAAAGGAAATCCTTTTTGTTTTACAATCTACGTCTATTTACCGATAATGGTAGGCCTAGACATTATTTGCACTTTTTAAACAGCTTTAGACATCCTGACTCAACAACTCGCGCTAATTTTACGCACGTTTGATGAAATCTCATGAAAGGTCTTGAGGTCTGTAACGGTTGTGAAACAGGCTGACAAAGCTCAGTTGAAACGCCTGTGAGTCTCTGGGTTTTCTGTCGAACACAAGTGCTGATTAGCTGTGTGTGAGGAACAAACCGCTCCTTGTTCTCTGTGTGTCTCAGCAGCAGCGAGAGCAGCAGGATAATGCTGGAGAAATGGGATCCCGCTTCCCAAACGGAGCAGGTAGGAGAGCTGAAGCGATGCATTGAGAGCGCGCACAGGAAACCTGCGCTAAATGCATTGCCACGAGCTTAAATGCATAACATCACAGAAAACAAGGTTGTTTGCAAAAGCTGTGTTTTCATGGTCTATGGTAAAAGCGAGTTTGGCAATCCAGATATGGTGAGAATACCTAAATGAATTAGGATCTAATTAAGGTGCAGTTTGCACATAATGGATGCGGTTTATATATGATATTGATAATATTAACATTATTATTATAATAACAATAGAAAATAAAAATTTCTCCCCTGGCTCAGTGAGTCTAAGATTTGTTCATGATTTGAACAACACCAGTCTTTACTACCGTCGATTCACTGATGCCATGTGTTGAATAATTGAGTAATTGAAGAAGAAAAGGGAGGTGCAAATTCTGGACGGATTTGGGAGCCTGAGCCCCTAATTTGAATCCCTGGGTTGCGGAGGGCCAGAATGTGTGAATTATTTTTACGTGCAAGCTATATAGCCTACGTTGATTTTCTACTTTAGGAAACCACAAATGTTAGAATAGGCTACAACTTTTTTTTTTAGTACGAAAACTTGTTTGATTAAAGAGGCAACAATAGCAACAACACGCAGCTCGAGCACTTTGCGTTTGACATTGATGAAACAGTCGTTAACTGTCGTTATGTTTTTATTATAGATTATAGGCATATGAATGTGTAGGCTAACATAAAAGTATTTGGCATTTGGTTAATTGTGTCAGGGGCGCACTAAAACAGGTGAACGCGACAGATTGCGCCCTGAGAAATTCCTTGCGAATTTTCTTTTGAAAGAAGTTGACCCCCCCCTGAAATTCATTGTTTAATTCGCACACTGAAAACACATCCCCCAGTGCTGGCTTTGTCGAGCTCTTTGGGACAAAAGCCGTCATTTCGGAGGCAGCAAAGCGGTTTCAGATGTCCGATGGGCGCTCAGGATTGGTAAAGCTGGAGCGGCTGTTCCCCAGAGCCGCTATTCACTGAGACACACTGGCCCCGTTCATTATGTCAGAATACATCTCCCTTGCAGCCTTGTAAGCTATATAAAATTATTGAATTCTCAGATATCAGGTGTGATGGGGAAAAGCGGGCAGAATAGAGACGGTTTCAGTCAGATAAGAAAATGATTTAGTTCTGAAGTGAAGTGAATCGCTAATCGCTCTCATGCGGTAATAACTCTTATCCATGCTTTGCGCAGCACATGCTTCCAGGTTCAAGTGAACAATGATTTATTAGATCAAGACTTTGATTGGAATTTCAGATTTGCCCTGTGGCGTCCTGTTCTAGGAGGTCTTAATTAATCCGATATATGAGAACAAATGAAAGTAGTTGAAGGATAGACACGTTGTATTTTTCACCTAAGCTTAATTTGTCAACAGTCATAATTACATAAGCTTGTAACACAAAATTCTCACTGCCTTTGTATTTAATCTCAAACTTTCAGAGTTAGCCTATGTCTCTTTGCTGACAATTCAATGTAGCCTATCCTTTCAGTCTTAAAGGGGTCATATGATGCTGCTAAAAAGATCAATTGCAAGAGAAATGACAAACAACAAGCGCTACTCTACACTGCTCAAAACTCACGTTTGAATCGTCATTGGCAAATCATTTAAATGAAAACGTACTTACGTGAGTCAGAACTGCCTGCATTTTAGTCTAACGTTACTCTACCAGGATCAGTAAACAGTCCTCCATAAAATGCGCTGCACACATCTGGATATTTGGGTTAAACTGTTCTGGAACAGTGTTGTAAATACAACTTAACCACTGATTTGTAGTCGTGTCCTCTTTTGGAAGACCAAACAAAGTAGATTCGCCTTCACGGCATGGCTGCAGCGTCAACAAAACTACAGCGAGAATAAAAGTTATGCCTTCTTTCTTTGCGTGAACATTTGGGCGGTGTTATGCAAATCTTCCCACATAGTGAGGTAGATCTGTGGGGGCGTGTTAGAACGAGCCGTTTTAGGTAGGTGTGGCTGACTCTGAACTTTTATAAAGAATATCTCTTTGGATTTGAGACTTTAGTCTTTGCAACTTTACAGATCTTCTTTATGCACCAAGAGCTTGTAACACTCCAAAGAGAAAGGAAAAATTGAAATTGCATCATACGACCCCTTTAAGGCCTGTTCACACCAAGTCCGATATCGATATAGTTTTAAAAATCGTTCTAAATTTAAAAGGATAGCCGAGTCCACGCCACATCTATAACGATAACGGCACATAGGAACGATATTGTTAGAATCAATTTCAAAAAGTTTTTTTCTTCCCACTGCAGATGAACGATAGAAACATTGACAGCCAATCAGCATCTTTCCTGCTAAAGCGGCAGAAGTCAATTCGCACTTGTAATAAACAGAACGTAGTCCGCTGGTGTGGACGCTAGCCTAATATAGACATCGTTGTGGAAATCTTCATAGTTATCCTTCTTAGTGTCAACAGACCCTAATACAGGGGTCTTTCCAAGCCAAAGAACCCTTGGTGGATAAAGCTACAGACCAGGGGCCCCCTGTTACATATTGTAAAAAAAGGCATTGAATGCATATTATAACATTAATGTGCTTATATATTTTTATGAACATTTCAATAATCATTTTTAATGAGTCATGCACATTACATTTTAATTATACTTAATGCATTTGTAATACATTTGAATGTGGAATGAATATTTAGTTGAACTTCAGCTTTGGTTGTCACAAATTATTTCAGTAATTGACAAACTGCCTGGACTACCAACAAACTATGTGTGAACTGAATTTTTATATATTTTTTCCCTTTAAAGAGGTCCTTAGAGAGCAACACATCATCAACAGAACAAACAGAAGCACAGAAGCCATCATCCCGCAGAGCCACCGGTAAGAACTGAGCAGAATGTTACAATAGTTTAGGAGGCCCAGTGCTCTCTTTGTGTATGTTTTGGTTCTTTGTGCACGTTCCCCCTGTTGAACAATGCTCTATGTGCTTTTTTGTTTCTTTTTTTGCTTGCATGTCTTGTTGTTGACACCTGCACATATGATTAGGGGTTAATCTTTAAAGAACTGTTTGTTGATGTGTGTGTACAAGAAGTATGATACTACTTTTATGTGTGCATTGTATTTAGTAAGATATTATAAGCTATTATAACATATTAATAATTACTGTGTGTGCAAGTTTGTGATGCATAAACCTAATTCATGTAATGATAAACTGCAAACAATAAGAGTTGCTCATTTGAAATGTGAGAAAGGGACTGCCCCCTCTTTCACTAGACATCTGTTCAGCAGGCTGATGAGTGTCATCATTACACACAAGAGCGGGATTCATCTTAATGCGTCAATGACCATGTTCACACCAAGTCCGATATCGATATAGTTTTAAAAATCGTTCTAAATTTAAAAGGATAGCCGAGTCCACGCCACATCTATAACGATAACGGCACATAGGAACGATATTGTTAGAATCAATTTCAAAAAGTTTTTTTCTTCCCACTGCAGATGAACGATAGAAACATTGACAGCCAATCAGCATCTTTCCTGCTAAAGCGGCAGAAGTCAATTCGCACTTGTAATAAAAGTCCGCTGGTCCGCTGGTGTGGACGCTAGCCTAATATAGACATCGTTGTGGAAATCTTCATAGTTATCCTTCTTAGTGTCCTAATACAGGAATACAGGGGTCTTTCCAAGCCAAAGAACCCTTGGTGGATAAAGCTACAGACCAGGGGCCCCCTGTTACATATTGTAAAAAAAGGCATTGAATGCATATTATAACATTAATGTGCTTATATATTTTTATGAACATTTCAATAATCATTTTTAATGAGTCATGCACATTACATTTTAATTATACTTAATGCATTTGTAATACATTTGAATGTGGAATTAATATTTAGTTGAACTTCAGCTTTGGTTGTCACAAATTATTTCAGTAATTGACAAACTGCCTGGACTACCAACAAACTATGTGTGAACTGAATTTTTATATATTTTTTCCCTTTAAAGAGGTCCTTAGAGAGCAACACATCATCAACAGAACAAACAGAAGCACAGAAGCCATCATCCCGCAGAGCCACCGGTAAGAACTGAGCAGAATGTTACAATAGTTTAGGAGGCCCAGTGCTCTCTTTGTGTATGTTTTGGTCCTTTGTGCACGTTCCCCCTGTTGAACAATGCTCTATGTGCTTTTTTGTTTCTTTTTTTGCTTGCATGTCTTGTTGTTGACACCTGCACATATGATTAGGGGTTAATCTTTAAAGAACTGTTTGTTGATGTGTGTGTACAAGAAGTATGATACTACTTTTATGGTAACACTCCAAAGAGAAAGGAAAAATTTAAATCGCATCATATGACCCCTTTAAGGCCCGTTCACACCAAGTCCGATATCGATATAGTTTTAAAAATCGTTCTAAATTTAAAAGGATAGCCAAGTCCACGCTACATCTATAACGATAACGGCACATAGGAACGATATCGTTAGAATCAATTTCAAAAAGTTTTTTTCTTCCCACTGCAGATGAACAGATGGACTTTATTACTACTTCCCTGGAAAATGCAGCTACACATTACTGAGAGACTGCGAAGACAGCACTCGGTCAAGTGTACATATACAGGTGATCTCTTATAATGTTTATAAAATAATATTTATTTCACTTTATTTTTAATCATTTTCTGTATAATAATAATAATAATAATCAATATTTACTACATTATACTTTTGAAATTTCACTCTATACTCCAGTTCATAGTGGTAGGTCACGTATAACCATTCAGCAACAATGAAAAGAGGGATCCAGCAACACTTGTGGTGAAGGGTGCTTTATTGTATTTCAAAAATATTTACCAAGGCGTTTCAGCTTAGAAGCCTTCATCAGTGTCTATCTACCACATAACCACCTATAACTATTTACCAGAACATATTTCCTTTACCAAATGGTGATTTGTTGCCACCTGACTGTATTCAGCTACACGCTGTGTCTGGGGCAGCACCTTTTCAAAATGTATTAAATTATTTAGGTACTAATACAGTATGTACACTTTAGGTACTAAGATGTACCTTTGAGGTACTAATACACACTCTTTAGGGGTAAATAAGGTACAAAGGTATATCTTTTGAAAAGGTACCGAACCATTGACAGCTTTTGTACCTTTTTTTCTGAGAGTGTATTAGCTTTAGATGTGGTTTGTTTAAGCAGGCTGCTGTTCTCTTCTTTGCATCAGAGATGCCATATGTTTGTGCGTACTGCACAGCTCTTGCCTGAGGAAAATATTTATCGGCATTCATAGAGAAAGTGATCTCATTATTATGGTCATTTATTCCCATTACAGTTTAATACATTAATTACGGCCAGGGCCAAAACAGAATTGGCTTTGTTCTCTCAGACTCACTGATGGGAATCCAGAGGAGGTGAGCTGACTCAGCCAGGAGTTTTCTTTAGGCCATTAGCTTAAGTGCCAATATCATTTATCAATGAATTGAAAGGATGGCCGACAGTAATGCAGAACTTAAGCAGGATTGGCCCGGTTGCTCTGGATAAGACGACTCCACTTTTGATGGTGGAGAGGAAGCATCTTAAGAGCTGCACACACTTGCAGACACTTTATTTTAGTGATAATGTGGTTTACTTCTGCTCTATTTTAGCATTGGAATTCTTTTTAGCTTCAAATTTAGCTTTGTTTTAGGTCTTTTTTTCACTTCTTAATATGGAAAGATTCTTATATCATGCTTAATTGCTAATTATTTATCTGCAGGTGCATAATGACCCAGAATGCAGTTCTTTCCCATACTCCTGCGCTCGTTCAATCAGCCTCTTCCTGCCGTGGGAGGGGGAGATTAGGTTACAGAACTTCAGTGTTACTTTCAAGGGTCAAAGGTAATGAACATTCACATTCAACCATAGCCTCTGTCACTTAAAGGCACAATATGTAAGATTTTTGATTAAAATATCCAAAAACCACTAGAACAGTGTTATATATTTTGCTGACTTGTGTACTTACATTATCCCAAATGTTTCAAAGAATGTTTAAATCCAGAGAAATAAGCAATTTTAACTAGTGACATGTGACTAGTGTCCATAGTGTCATTGTGTCGCCTGCCAATGACGTCATAACCCCTCGACTTCCGGTTTTGTTTTGTAGAAAACATGGAAACACCAAAGACGCTTTAATATGTTGTGTGTTTTAATAGACCGGTGACGACCGCACAGAGTAGCATTATAACAGAACTTTCAAATGTATCTAGTATGATAAAACTGCTTTTTTCCCCACATACGCACAACAGGAAGGAGAGGAAGCAGTCGACTGTGTGGCATAATAAAAGCTCAGCTGCTTTCGAGCCGTGTGTCACACTCGTTCAGCGGCTCGTTTCACTTCGACGGCTTTCAGCCTCACCCTGCTTCATTCTACTACGTTAATAAATCATTAGCTCATCCATGAACATGATTTCTGCCCGAGTCCCGTCGGATTGCATCGGCTGTGAGGATGAAGACGACAACTCCCATGATTCCACACATTAAACTACACCTTTGTCTCTTTGTTTATTTTGAATACGCGCCCTCTAGCAGCGAAAATTACATATTGTGCCTTTAACCTCAACCTGACCTGCACGCTATCTCAGTCATTCTTTTAAAGAATCTGTTCAATGATTTATGTGTGAGTGTAGTTCTAACTAAACATCCTCTCTCTGTAGTGTACAGCTGCCCCATCACATCCATGATGTTGAGCTGGAGCGAATCTCTGACTACATTGTAGTGTCTCAGCCACAGGGTTTCACGCTGGCCTGGCAGGGTCTCACTGGCTCTGTGTACATCAAGATGAGTCCTGAGTTTGTAGGACACACCTGTGGACTATGTGGCAATTTCAATGCTGACACTCAGGATGACTTGAAGACCAGCTATGGCAAGTTTTACTCAATTTGTAACAGATTGTGGCATTTGAAAAAAAAAAACTGTATGATGGAAAGGGACAACATCAGCAAGATTAAATCAAGATTAGAAATTGTAGATTTTATTTGGCATTATAGAAAAATAGTAAATTATTTGAACAGTAAGAAATTTGAAATGACAGTGATTGTACAGTTAGTACAGAACATTTTGTTTATTAAAAAATTTGTTATTTACTCTTTCACATAATTTGCTTCAACTCAGACAATGTGCTGATGAAGCTTAGGGTAGCTGACATGAAAATTATAGGAAGTTGGAATGTCAACTGTGGTGAAACACAACTACTGCATCTAAAGCTATTAAAAATGATATGCATAATTATATATTCTTTCATAATTATTATGTATACAGTTTTTGAGAATGGTTTTTACTTAAAAAAAAGCATTTGTCACACCACAGGATCAGTGTTTTTCCAAAGTTAAAACAAAATAAAAATAAAACAAAGATTATTGAAATATGTTTTACAAGAAAATACTATTCCAGTTTTGTTTTTCTACTTCAAAATTTCACATTTAGTTCAGTGTGTTAATGTCTTTTGCTTTGTAATTGTGAAATGCTCTAGCAATTTCTGTGAAAATTGTTTTTACACCATTTTTTTCAGTGTACATTTTAAAATCTTGATGTTGATTGTAAAAGCACATAAACACATTATGCATCACTCAAATGCATTTATCGCTATTTTCTACAGGTGTTTTCACACAGGATTTGGCTATGTTTGGAAACAGCTGGGCAGAGGAGGAGCCACAGCTGGGTGGATGTCCTGTTGTTCCCTCTCTTTACCCCTCACCATGTGCCACGCAGGATCCTCGTGTCTTATTGGTACTGCACTCACACGCACGCACACACACACACACACACACACACACACACAGGTTTCCTTTTGTGAAAAGTGGGGACATGGGGTAATGTCCTGAAAGTCACCTTCTCCTTGTAATACCTATGTCATACCTTTGTCATTATACAAATTTATGTTCTCATTTGTCACAAAAACCCACACACACACACACAGGTTTCCTTTTGTGAAAAGTGGGGACATGGGGTAATGTCCTGAAAGTCACCTTCTCCTTGTAATACCTATGTCATACCTTTGTCATTATACAAATTTATGTTCTCATTTGTCACAAAAACCCACACACACACACACAGGTTTGTTTTTGTGAAAAGTGGGGACATCCCATAGGCGGCACAGACCATATATTCAATTGCCCTACACCAACCCTACCCCTAAACCTACCCCTCACAGGAAACTTTGTGCTATTTCAGATTTTCAATACACTCCACTCTGTGTGATTTATAAGCATTTTGAAAAGTGGGGACATGGGGTAATGTCCTGAAAGTCACCTTCTCCTTGTAATACCTATGTCATACCTTTGTCATTATACAAATTTATGTTCTCATTTGTCACAAAAACGCACACACACACACACACACACACACACATGCTGTATATTCTTGTCTCAGACCAACCTGACTCATATTCACGTCTACACCCATTATACACCTGGTGAATAAGGACTCTGGTTCTTCACTGCAGAAAGTGGAGGAAGTTTGTGCCACCCTACTGAAGGAACCGTTCCAGTCTTGCCATGAATTTGTCAGTCCAAATTCATACATGGCCAGTTGCTCCAATGACCTCTGCCTGTAAGTACTGACACAACACTGAGCTACTGACATTACCACACCGACTGGAAAGCTATAAACCTACCTGTACATTGCATAGCTACTGACATTACTTTCCAAAGTGTTATCCTAAACATACTTATGCTGTTGATGTTATTGCACCATATTACTCTTGTGTGCATATAATTTATTCACCTGGTGCAGGTCTGGTCCCAATGGTGATGTCGTGTGCCAGGTTTTCACAGAGTATGCCAGAGCATGTGCCCATGCTGGACATGCGCTGCATAACTGGAGAGCACACTTTCCTGTTTGCAGTAGGTTACATTGCAAATACACAATTGTTTGTGATATTTGAGTATATTTTGTATAGTTGTATAAATGTACTGGTAATATTGTAAAACATATATTTCTTAATTCTAAATTCTAAAGTCAGATGTTTTTCTGAATGACTAAACCTGTATTTATGTGCAGGTTGCTGCATCATTTGACAACTTTAAACAATCTAAAGTTGACCTTAGTGAAAAATCAGTGTAAGAATTGTTTGCACAAAGAATTGGTTATTCTGGTGTGAGAATTGTTTATTCTAAACTATGGTTCAATAATTTGTGGTCGGGAAGATTAAAAAAAAATAATTTGAGTATCTCACATGAATATATTTATAATTTAATAATTTGATATTAATAATACATTAATATATTTTTTATATTGTAATTCATTCCTGTGATGGCAAAGCTGAAATTTCTACCAGTAGAAATTTGTGCTCAAGTAACATTTATTATTATTATAAATGTTGAAACAGTTGTGCTGCCTAATATATTTTTTTCTTTCACTATCCTTTAATGAATAGAAAGTTCAAAAGAACATCATTTATTTGAAATAGAAATGTTTTGTAATAATAATAAACATCTTTACTGTCACAATCAATTTATATGTCCTTACAAATAAAAGTATTAATTTCTTTCTTTAAAAAAAACTTACTCATTCAAACTTTTGAAAAGTGGTGTAAATAAAAAAAAATTACAGTTCATGGAATATTGGTAACAATTTATTGAAATATTGCTATTGCCTGCATTTTGTAAAAGCAATAAGGTCATGCATTACAGTAATTTTGCCACAGCTATTAGGCATGAAACTAAGATGTAAAATCACTGTAACACACTCGAGTATTCTCGAGTGCCTTATTACTTTATTTTTTCCTGCAGATATTCAAGTTGTACAATTTATCATTGTCAGATATTTAAGTGCTTTTGCAGTTTGGCCATTTAAGTGTTAGATTTTTTTATTTTTTTGCTGTGAGATGCATATTGTGAGAGTATCTGTTGTTCTTGGCTGTAGGTGTAGATTGCCCCGGTGAGCTCCTTTTCAGAGAGTGTATTACCTGCTGTCCCATGCACTGCAAGATCGAACACATGTGTATAGACAGCAAGCTGCAGTGTTTGGATGGCTGCTACTGCCCTGATGGTAGTAACATAATACTAAATGAACTAATCACAAGCTTTATATGTGTGTTCATTTGTGAATGTTTAAAGATAATGAAATAATTTTGCTTTCTCTAGATTTGATCTACGAGAATGGGGTGTGTGTTAAGGCATCAGAGTGTCCCTGTGAGCACCACGGCATGCTGTACCCCTCCGGACTTGTCATACAAGAAGACTGCAACAACTGGTCAGACACTATATTATCTTATGCACTGCATACTTGGTTGAATGAAGAAGCATTGAAACCTGTGTTTGGGTGGTACTGAATGTATGCATATATTTTTGTTCTTGTCTCAGCACATGTGTTGGGGGCATATGGAACTGCACTGAGCATAGCTGTCCAGGTGTTTATCTGTTTTTATTTACCTTTTTTCATATTTACATGATGCCTATTTTAATTGTTTCCACATTTCATTCATTCTCCTCCTTCTAAACCACATTTCACTGATACCAACTGTATCTTATTTCAATTTTATTATCTTTTGATTGCATAGATTTAATTTATTTAGTCAAACATAACAAATCAAATTCTCCAGTCCTCATATAGTGCTTGTAATTTAATGAATATTAAACTGTACTGTAATATTGTACTGTAATATTACAGTTTTTATTGTATTTTTAAGAAGATTAAAAAATCTTTCAGACCCCAAACTTTTGGACAGGGATGTACTCTTTTTGTTTTCTACAGGGGAGTGCTCTGTGACAGGAGATATGTTCTTCCAGTCGTTTGATGGCCGCATTTATACATTTCCTGCTACGTGCCAGTACGTTTTAGCCAAGAGCAGAAATTCGGGCAAGTTCACTGTGACCATTCAGAATGCACCCTGTGGAGCCGTAAGTCCCTGTGCACTTTCATGCCATCCGCACCAACACAAACCTTGAGTATTAGCACACAACAGAGAAAAGACTTAAGGCATGCCAGATGTAGCATGCCAAAGCTTTATTCGTCACGTTCCAGAATCGCTCTAGTGTAGTGATCTAAAATCTGGAGTAATCTGGGAGCTGGAACACAGCTTCAGTAGACAGACTTAAGATTGCAGCTTCTAGATTTGTGTGATTAGTCAAGCTATTGGCTTATTAGCAGTTAGAGTAGCTAGACTTATTAGTATTTTAGTTAAATTAATCTCTAGATTAGGCACAAATAATTGCACAGCCTTTCTTTTGGCTAAAGTAAATTTTTTTGGGTTGAGATGAAACCAAGTCCTAGATGCGCTTGTACCGTGATTAGACCCTGCTTAGCTTTGACAGATAAAACATGAAACGATACAAAACATGAAGAGATTCTCTCCCTCAAAGCCTTCCTTTCCTGGAGCCCAGACCTGCTGATGCTAAAACTCAACACACAGAGATCAGTCTGGTGTATAGTGTCACTGGCTGGACTCTGAACAAGCTATTCTGCTTATCTGAGCCTCTGAATGACAGAACCAGACAGAGACTTTGTAGTTGCTGATAGAGAGAGAGAGAGAAGAGAGAGTGAGAGATGTATTTCAGTAAAGCGATTGGTGAAAGATCCTCACATAGGCACCTGTTGGTAGCGTCCATCATTTCCTTGAATGGAACAATTCAGAGACCGAGTGGTTTATCTCCTGTGAACAGCTCTCAGTAACACTTTCACAAGCATAAATGCTTAATTCCTAAACGACATGATTACTGAATTAGTCAAAATTGAATCAGATGAACAGATAAGTCTGTGTCCCTGTGCAGACATTCATCCATTGTGTTCCATGCAGTAGTTCTATAGCTGCTGATATTATGTGTGCTGGTATGGGACGTTCTGACTCTCTGATTTTGTTCTGCTTTGTTATGTCTGCAGAATCTGGATGGTGCTTGTATTCAGTCAGTCAACCTGATGGTTGATGAGGATCCACATACTGAGATCACAATGAGCCATAGTGGAGAGGTTTTTCTGGCCAGCCAGTTCAGGATCTCACTGCCGTATTCAGATGGTAATGTACTACAGCTGATCTGGAATGAGATGTTGGCTTGGAAATGTACTATAACAATTGAAAATGAACCAAAAAGTACTACCATGGGTTTTTAGACTTTGAAATTGTTGAAAGCACCTTGGACCATTTAAATACCAAGGTACATGAATTTTAGTACCATGGTATATTTAAAAATGCCTTAATATTAACATGTGATGCCACCCCTTTACCATGGTACACTATACTTTTAGAAAAAAAGGTACAATTGCTGTCACTGGGGCAGCACCTTTTCAACAGGTACACCTTTTTGCCTTATTTATCCCTATAGGGTGCATATTAGTAACTTACAGGTACACATTAGCACCTGAATGGTACATTTTAGTACTTAAAAGGTGCAATTTAGTACCTTTTGAATGGGTACTGTCCCAGTGACAGCTTCTGTATCTTTTCTTCTGAGAGTGTACTGCCACATACTCTTATACTAGTAGATTAATATGGTATATTTTTGTGTTTTGTTCTATTACCTTGAATGTGTTCCTCAACTGAATCTGCATTCAATACTGATTACATACAGACTCATATCCAACACACGGATGTCCATCCATAATACCTAGTTTTGTGTTTTACTTTTAAAGCAGAGCTCTTTTTTAAGGGGTAGTTCACAAAAATGTTGTCATCATTTACTCACTCTCATGTCGTTCCAGACCTGTATGACTTTCTTTTTTTTTGTGGAACATAAAGAAGATATTTTAAGAAATGTCTTATTGTTTTTTGTCCATACAATGAAAGTCAGTGGTAACCAAAATTGTTTCATTTACCAGCATTCTTCAGAATATGTTCTTTTATGTTTAGCAGTAGAAAGAAAGTCTTAAAGTTTTGGAACAACATGAGGATGAATAAATGACGAAAGAATTTTCATCTTTGGGTGAACTATACACAATCAAAATATGGAACGATACACAAAAAGTTTCAAATGTGCATCTGTTATTCATAGTCCTTCATGTGTTTAATATGGTGATGTCTTCTCAGATGTGTTGCAGATCCAGGAGCTGTCATCCATGTTTGTTCAGGTGAAGTCATCGCAGGGTCTGCGGCTGCAGTATAACTGGAGGGAGTTCAGGCTGTACCTGCAGTTGGAGAAGCAGTGGAGAGATGATACTGTGGGCCTCTGCGGAACCTTTAACGGCAACATTCAGGATGACTTCCTGTGGGTTTCACTTTACTTCCTGCTTTCTTTCTCCCTGTTATCTGTTTTTACTCATATTCAACTTATTATCCAACTTTTCGTTTTTGATGTGTTACTTTAGTGCACCCTCTGGCATGATTGAAAGCACACCATACTTGTTTGGAAATGCATGGCGTGTGTCTTCAGCATGCGTACCGCGGCCCATCTTACCCCAGCTTGACCCTTGTGACACACACCAGCAAGCAGGTGAAATGTTCACCTTATTATGCAAAACCTAGCGCCTTTTTAAACTTTAGGTTTTGTTTTAAATTTTTATTTTTTTTGTCTGTATGGCTTGAATGACTGTTTGTGTAATTTCAGCCGCTTATGCAGTGGAGAAGTGTGATGTGCTGATGCAAGAGGTGTTTTCTGCCTGTCATTACCCCAGCTTGACCCTTGTGACACACACCAGCAAGCAGGTGAAATGTTCACCTTATTATGCAAAACCTAGTGCCTTTTTAAACTTTAGGTTTTGTTTTAAATTATTCTTTTTTTTTGTCTGTATGGCTTGAATGACTGTTTGTGTAATTTCAGCCGCTTATGCAGTGGAGAAGTGTGATGTGCTGATGCAAGAGGTGTTTTCTGCCTGTCGTGAGTATGTGAGTCCAGTGGGTTTCCAGCTCCAGTGTCGTGCAGATGTCTGCAAATGTGGAGCGCCGTGCCTTTGCTCCATCCTCGCTCACTATGCCCGCACCTGCAGGAGACATGGTGTCATCATTGAGTTCCGCTCACACCTGCCTGAGTGTGGTCAGTCTAACACTTACTCATGTATTCACTATCATTCCAAAGTTTGGGGTCAGTAAGATTTTTTCAAATGTTTTTAAGAAGTGCCATATCGTGTCATCTCACTAGGTTTTGCATTTATTTGATCAAAATATTGTGAAATAACTAATATTGTGAAATATTATTAAAATATAAAAATAACAGTTTTGTATTTTAATGTATTTTAAAATGTTTTTTTTTTTATTCCTGTGATGGCAAAGCTGAATTGTCCAGTCTTCAGTGTCACATGATCCTTCAGAAATAATTCTAATATGTTGATTTAATGCTCAAGAAACAGTGGTGGCAACACTGATTATACTTTTTTGTGGAAATTGTGATTAGTTTATTTCTTGATTTTTTTGGTGAATACAAAGTAAAAAAAAAAAAACAGGAACTATTTGAAATAGAAATCTTTTGTAACAATGTAAAAATCTTTACTGTGACTTTTGATCAATTGCTGAAAAAGTTTACATTTGTTTAAAAAAAGAAAGCAAGAAGAAACAGAAACCTTACTTACCCCAGACTTTTGAGTACATACCTTGATAATCAACTAGTGTACTGACATCTTTATTGTGTATGAGATTAGAATTTATATGCGTGTGGCCTGTTTGGAATGTTTCTGCAGCCATCACGTGTCCATCTACTATGGAGTATGGAGTCTGTGTGTCGTCATGTCAGCGTCGCTGCCTGTTTCTGTCTCTCCCTCAGCTGTGTGGAGATGAGTGTGAGGAGGGTTGCGTGTGCCCGGAAGGAACATACTTCAACATGCATACACACACCTGCGTGCCACGGTAAAAGTAAAAAAATAGTCACATGGACTGATTTATGGTGCTTTATAGTGCTTTTTTGGAGCTTGGCAGACGTAGTCACTACAAACTGCTTTAGAATTCTTCTTTGGATTTGGAACAACATAAGGGTGATTAAATAATGACAGAATATTCTGTTTTTATCCAGTACTTTAACTCCACCTTTTTTCTATTCACTTCTGTTATGTACATAATATTATATAATTTTATTCACATAATAGAGGTAATCCACTGACAGTTTTGCTTCTTTAACTTGATCTAAATCAAGGATTATGAAATTAACTTATTAAAAAATAATTAATGCAAAATCAACACCCTTCTAATTATTTAAACACTAGCTCTGTGGCTTTGACCTAGATTGAGTTATTTAGTGTGTGTGAGAGTGAAGTTATTTGCAGTCCTCGTTCAAGCAGGCTGTAAAATGTTATGGATCTGACAACCTCAGGTGTTGTATAACGCTTTTAGCCTCCTTACCCTCACATGGGTTCACTTCCCTTAAATGTCCTGTGTCCCACTGCCACATACTCAGCATGTGCTAGAGTTACAGCACTCACACTGGCAGAGGCTGAGAGAAAGTCAAAGACGTGATAGACTCTACTACAGACTCAACCGCTGCACTGTGGCCTGCAGTCTCTCACCTCTAACCCAACTACTGTACTAGTTCAATTCTCTTAAACTGCTCAGAGAGATTTTATTGTCTCATAGGTCACGTGAGCTGAATCATGACTATGGTCATCCTCACTCCTTACCACTGTACATTAAACATTAAATGTCTTTTGATTGACTGTGATGTATTATACAGCATTGTGGCTTTCAGTGTTAGGTTAGGACATTGTGTTACTAGAATAAAAAGGAGTTCGATTTTTTTTCTCCTTGGATATGACATAATATATTGATTCTGAGTCAAATTTCTTTGGGTACAGGAGTGAATGTCCATGTAGTTTTCTTGGTGCTGACTATTTTCCTGGAGATGTGGTCATGACATCATCAGGTGTACAGTAAGATTGTCTTATTCACTCATATTAAACATCACCACACTGTCAAACTCTCCATTATATCACATTCCCAATTACAACTAGTGTTTTGTAAAGAAATAATGTTTTATCTATATATCACAGCAGCCCAGTACAATAGACTCTATGCCTCACGTAAATTAAAATCTTTTTTTTACCTCAACAGAATTTGCCAAGATGGAAAACTTGTTTCCCAGAGCTCAATTATTGGTGAGTGTTGTATTTCAGCATCTTGATGTTATTTATCCATGTGAAACTCTTTGAATGTCTGTAGTGTTTGCAGTTTGTTTGAATTTGCATATCTACAGTGCTGGAGTTCAGTGTATGTTCTCCTTCTCTCCTCTCTCAGATACCATGTGCCCACCAGGGCAGTTTTATGAGGACTGTGGGAACCGAGCAGACAGCCACTCGGCCAATAAAGGTTTAGCCTGTGAACAGACCTGTGAGTCGTATTTGCTCAACCTCACCTGCTCCACTCATGAGCCGTGCATGCCTGGCTGTGTCTGTCCCACAGGGTGAGTGGGGTCTTTGTTGTCTTCATTCTTAGTGTCTGTTATCACTTACAGAAACATAATGTGGTAGACCATATTCATATACCAGTGGCATCTGGAGCTTTGCAATATTTACAAATGGCAGTAGGCAAGAGACACGATTAGAAACGCTAAACTGAATGCGTTACAAAAGACTTATTTCAAAAGCTGCCAGTTCAAAAGTTTGAGGGTCAGTAAAATTATTTTCAGTAAAACTTTTGTAATATGTTACAAAAGATATTTATAGCAAATTAATGCTGTTTTTTTTAAACGTTCTATTCATCAAAGAATCCTGAAAAAAAGTATCACATTCTCCAAAAAAAAAAAAGAGCAGCATGACTGTTTTCAGCAATAAGAAATAAGAAATGTTTTTCTAGCAGCATATCAGCATATTACAATGATTTCTGAAGGATCATGTGACACTGAAGACTGGAGTAATGACTGCTGAAAATTCAGCTTTGCCCTCAGAGGAATAGATTACATTTTAAAGTATATTAAAATGGAAAACAGTTACTTTACATTTTCATAATATTTCCAAATATTACTGTTTTTATTGTTTGAATTACTGGCTGTTTGTTGCAAAGTCTTGCCCATTTGAGAGCCTACCCAATCATCACACGGAAACGGGCTTCAAGGCAGGACAAAAATACATTGATTAAAAACAACCATGTCAAATAAACAGTCAAAAAGGACCCAAAATGACAATTTTATAGCCTCCAATTAACATAGTTTTTTTCCCATTAAATGAAAGATACAAGTACTGTATCTGCAATAGATTCCTTGCTTTAGTGGGACTTGTGTGCACTGAATCCTGCACATATATTTATTTATACAAAGTTCGTTCTGGTTCTCAAATCTGATTGGTTGAGAACCGTGAGATATTGTACTGGTATCGCTACAGGAACGCCCTTTCACAATTTTGTATCACTAAAAAAAAAACATATGAGTTTTTAATGTAATTTATCGTGAAGGCATGTAAAAGTTTGCCATGGTATTATGATAGCATGTCCAAAAAACATGGGACAATCATGGTACTTTTTTGCAAGTGATACTGCTATTGTGCCACTTACTACTCTGCTGTTTAAGTCTCTGCTTCAGTTGGATGTTTTTACAAGAATTTGAGCTTTACTGAGTATTAATATGATTGATCTTGGTGTATCTATTCAATGTCTCCCAAATGCATTTTGCACTTTTACAGACATCGAAAAGTATGTTTATTCTTCATCTGTATTGGTAGTTTTATTTTTATATATTTAAAAGGTTAGTTGTTTCCATGTTTGTGTGTGATGTAGAGGATTTAGTAGGTGAATGGCTGTATGTGTATTTACGTGTGATGGGGCAGTGATCCATGGCTAAGCTTAGTGGGTGGAATCGCCTGAGCAGCGTCAGGAACTACTCATTTCCATTACACATGCATACACTGGGATTTTTAGCTTTCATGGGTCACATAATATTCTTAATCAAATTCCATTCAAATGTTTTCTCCACATAATAAAACAAATTTCACTGGCAGATGCAGACCATTGACATTCCAAGCAAAGTAGTGCAGATTTACAGAAGCACACAAACTCCCACGTTATTAAATGTGCCATACGTGTGGTCTAACATCATTACAGTTGAGCGGTATAGTAGTAGCAGGATGTTGAATATAGGATGCAGCAAAATGTTCTATGAATTGTCATTGGGGTATATATTTTTTCATTTTTCCTTGCTTTTAGTGTAAACTCACTTAATTTTCATATTTTTCATATATCAGAAATCAAGAATTTGGTCATTTAGCATCTCAAGTAAATGTACCTTGATTTAATAATGTTTAGATATTTTTATGGGAAAACAAGGCAAAAATAGAAAATAATTTTTTGCAGTGTAGACGGAGGATTGGATTGGACTAAAAGTTACCTCATGCGGACAGATTTTTTGTGTTGGTCAAACATTGGTGTAAGTTACCAATAGAAACCCACAATGTGCATTAAAATGAAGGACAAATTAAGGGTTTTCAAGGTTTTAAAACTATAATACATAGTTATTGCTCTGTGCCTCAAGTCACTTCTGTGAGACATTAAATATTTAGCTAATTTAGCAAAGATTAGCTCATACTAAAAAGAGATGTGGAAGGAATCCATTACTGATCGTCAGTCTACTGTAATACATCTGAAAGCACCTAGAGTGGACTATAAAAGGCAGAATGTAAAGTATTTGATTGCTTGCCTCTGGAACATTGTCATGAGTCTTCTGATGCTCTAGACCTTTTACAGGGACTTTCCAGCACAGCAGCCATACTCTTTTACACACAGACACAGTGGGTATAGAAAAGAATCACCCCCCTTTAAAATAATTACATTTTGTTGCTTTGCAGCCTGAAATGAAGACGGACACAGTTTTTGTTTTTTGCTGTATTTACTCAGTGCAACTTATAACATCCAAGTGAAAGATACAACACCATCATGTCATAAAAATAAATAAATAAATAAACAACCAGATTCACTGAGTTGGAAAAATGATCACCCCACTACTAAAAATTACTTGTAAACTCAGGTGTAGCTAATCGCCTTCTCAATGGCACACAAAAAGCCATTTGACTTTCAACTGTGATCAGCTGTGGCCATTTTGATCAGCTCAGCATGAAAAGAGCTTTCCTGGAGCATTTCAGTCCTTGGTAGTGCAACTGAAGTAAACACTCAACTATGGGTGGCAAGGCACTGTCAAAAGATCTCCGGGATAAAGTTGTGGACAGGCACAAGTCAGGAGATGGATACAAAAAATTTCAAAGGCTTTATCACTGCCTAGAAGCACAGTGAAGTCTATTATTAAGAAGTGGAAGGTATTTGGTAAAACACAGACTCTCCCTGGATCAGGACGTCGCTCTAAACTGGATGAAAGAGCCAGGAGGAAACTGGTCAGAGAGGCGACCAAGAGGCCTACAGCAACTCTGAAGCGGCTGCAGAAATTTATGACAAAGAGTGGTCATTGTGTGCATGTGACAACATCACAAATTTTCCATAGATGAGGCTTGTATGGGAAGGTTGCAAGAAAAAAAACACTCCTCAAGAAAGGCCACATACAGTCACAAGTCACGACTGAGCTTTGCAAAAATGCACCTTGAAGATTCTGAGGCAGATTAAAATTGAATTATTTGGCCTCAACACCAAACGATATGTCTGGTGGAAATTCAATACAGCTCACCATCCAAATAACAGCATTCCTACAGTAAAGCATGGAGGGGGTAATGTCCTGTTATGAGGGTGTTTCTCTGCAGCAGGGACTGGAGCACTTGTCAGGATAAAAGGAAAAATGGATGGGGCAAAATACTGTCAAATTCTTGAGGAAAATCTGCTGCCCTCTGCCAAAAAGTTGTCAAGGGAAGAAGGTTTACCTTCCAACATGACAATGACCCAAAGCACACAGCAAAACTGAGCACACAGTGGTTGAAGGAGAAAAAGCTGAATGTCCTTGCATGGCCTAATCAGAGCCCAGACTTAAACCCCACTGAAAATCTGTGGAATGACTTGAAGACTGCAGTCCACAAACACTCACCATCAAATTGAACTGAACTTGAGCAGTTCTGCAAAGAAGAGTGAGCAAATATTGCAAAGTCTAGATGTGCAAAGTTAGTAGAGACAGAGACATATCCCAACAGACTAAAGGCTGTAATTAAAGCAAAAATGGTTCAACTAAATAATGACACAAGATGGTGACCCTTTTTCCAACTTTTAAAAAATTATTATTTTTATTTTTTTCTAATGTGATGATGTTATATCTTTCACTTGGATGTTATAAGTTGCACTGAGTAAATACAGCTGGATAAAACAAAATTCATGTCCGTCTTCATTTCAGGCTGCAAAGCAACAAAATGTGATTACTTTAAAAGGGGTAATTCTTTTCTATACCCACTGTACATACACCGTCAGAGCCCGTCTTATTCAGAGTGCAGTGTCTCACTATCAACAATATAATGTGTGTGAGCTAGCTGTGTTTGATACATGAGCTAGACCATACAAGCAGGTTGAATTCCTCAGTGCACCTGTTCATGCCCTGAAAATTAGTCCACTAATTATTTAAGATAGGATTTTTTTCTTTCTAGTATTTATACATCGTCACATCTCTCAGGTATGCTTCTACTTTGTAGTCTTGTACTAAAGTTCTCACATTAGAATTCCTGCACTAACGAGAGAGAGAGTAATTACCCCCTCCTCCTCCCCCAAGCAATGTGGTTAATGTTAGCAATGCTTATTTATGTATACAGGTGCACAGCTGTATCAAATAGCTGATAAGCTGCTTAAAGGCATTCCTGTAGTCCATACTTCAAAATCAGCACATTTTAATTTGTCAAGATGAAAAGAAAGGCATCTTTATGTTTCAGTGCTCTTCTGAAGACCTTTAGCTCGTATGAATACAGATGTTTTCTAATCAATTGTTTCCTCTCTCTTATGGTTAGGGTCAGGTTTGGGGTTAAGGGTTAAGGTCAGGGATCAATGCAGGTGACCTCTACTTCTTCTCAAGTGTAATGCATCTGACTGGGTCTGAGATCAGAGCTTCCACAGAGAAAATGATGCCACAGTTGAGTCTCTAGATAACTATACATAGTGTTTTACTCACTGAAGCTTTTCAGTGGTAATGGTACTCACAGATTTTTCACCCAGAGATTGTGCTTTCATTTTAATCAATGCACTTCCAGTTTTGACTTTGAACTTGTTTGAACTAAATTATGTGCTTTGCCATTTTTGAGTTTTTGTTTTCAGTTCATAGAAAGATTTTGTAGTCTGTTTTAATCAATGAATGTATTTTTTAATAAGTTGTTTACAATGAAAAGGTATAATTTAAAGGAGTGAACATATTTGCTATTCTCAGCAAAATCATACAAGTTGAACAACATTTAATGGTATTCAATATATCAGAGTATGACAAGTATTCAGTCAGTGGTGTGCTTGGAGGAAGTTTGTGTGTTTGTAGGGTTTGTATGATAATACATTCTGTATCAGCATGCACTAGTTTGTGTTGCTTGAGAGGTCTCGGTTTGTGTAAGGATGTACACACATACAGTATAGACCCTCATATCAACATCTAAATTAGCCTTTGGCTAGGATATACATATGCCACCCTTAATCCCTCATCCAGAAAAACCAAATTAATTCATCTATTTGCTGCAGTTTTACAGATTAAAAGGAACCAGGAACCTCGGCTGTGTGTGCATCGAACGTGCAAACTGTAAATATTGTCTGCCCTAAAATCCATGATTCATATTTGATGGACTTATCCTTAATGTGACAAAATGACTGTTTGTGTTCAGAATACTCAGTAATGAACAATTTAATCACTTCTTCAGCTCATTTTCTGTCCAATTTTTATTCTAGTAGAATAAAGAGAAGTTGACAGTTAATGTTGTGTTAATGACAGCCACTCATATTCATGAAATTCTACCTCATCAGTACTCAATCCAACATAAGGCATTTCAGTTTACTCATCTCGCAATGGCTTTTTAAATTTTTTTAATTAGTCATTTGAAAACATTTATTGTAATTATGCACACAAAACCTCCTTTTCAGTATTTTTTTGTAATTTCACCCCTCAGAGTTTTTGTTTGAGTCATGGTTTTATTTTCTCAAGTCTGCTTTGTACAGAGAGAGAACAGCATCACCGGTGCATGACGATAATTGGTGAGCAATGGAGTTTGTGATTGTTTAGTTATGGATCCATCTCTTTATCTCTTAATTAATGCATGCAGAACAGGAGCAGGTGATCACACATTCTTTGATGGCAGTAAGTGATCCAGCGTTCTGGCTGAGGGATAAAGAAAGCTGTTAACGCCTGTCTATCTGGGGTGTAAGTTTACTCAGTTCTAACGGACAGTGTGCTGGGAACTCTCAGAGACCCTCAGGCCAATGGAAATGATTCACCGCAATATTACAAGATCTTTATCAGAGAGAGAGAGAGAGAGAGAAACTCTTTGGATCTGTGAGAATGAGAATAGGCTGCTTTTCTCATGTCACCAGTCAGATTTTTCTTTCATCCCTCTACCCTTCCAAATATTCTTGTCTCATGCAGAATCTTCAGAGATCTTGCATCATGCTTGCATGGCATACTTACATGCATAATTAAACTCAAACGTGCATCCTGTGTGCTGTTTCAGTATGTTCACAGGCGTGATACACTGTGTGCACGTGTGTATTTCAGGCTCCTCGAACATGGTGACGAATGTTTCGAGCCACATGCATGTCCGTGCTTGTGGAAAGGGAAAGAATATTATCCAGGAGACAGAGTATCGTCCCCCTGCCATCAGTGGTGAGATTACATTAACTCATATTCTGTGCATTAATTTCTTTGTGTTTTTACACCAGTCATTTTGCTATACTACATTTTATATACTACAAGAAATGTTATATGAAAGATTATGTGGTCACTTGAATTTTGGTACTTCATTGTTTTAAATTATGAATATGAGGAAAACTTGTGTAACTGTAAATTTCCCAATTTTTTATATTAAATAAATCAAATAGCAAATTTGGTAGAGACACAAAATGTCAATGACACTCATCACAAACATATTCACTTAGCATCTCCTAGGGAAAAGGAAAGAGAGAAAATGTGCAGTGAAACTTTCTCTGAATGTTATTATTTTGCAGTGTGTGTCAGCACGGCACGTTTCAGTGTGAGTTCCGCCCATGTCCGTCAATGTGCACGGCTTATGGAGATCGACACTACAGAACATTTGATGGGTTCCTGTTTGATTATATTGGTGCATGCAAGGTGTATTTGGTCAAGGTGAGCTTTTAGCAACAGATCCAGGTATTCATAACTCATTCTAGAAAAATGTATTATTGTTGTTGACTACTAATGTGTGCTCCTGTGTGTTAGAGCTCATTAGATTCAATGATGACTGTCACAGCAGAGAATGTTGACTGCTTTGAGAGTGGCGTGATCTGCAGGAAATCTCTCCTCATCTCCTTGGGACGCTCCTTCATTGTGTTTGATGATGACACCGGGAAACCTGTGAGTGAGCTATTCTCTTTTCTGTATAAAACATTATAAAAACTATAATTAAAATTAGTTGTCACCTATTAAATATAATGTGCCCCAGCCATATTCAGCTCATTCCTGTACGCCCCTGGGTAGGAGTGAATATACTTTGGCGGAATATATTTTTAATTCATCATAGTGTTGGTCATAATGTGTCGTAGTGCTGAAATCAGATGGTGTTGCGTCTGTAGTCTTATGTTTCTTGAAACATTGATTTGCTGTGAAACGACTGAGGTACGTTAACAATGGTTGATAATGATTGGCGGATATGTTTCACATGCAGAACCCATCCAGTGTGATCGAGAGGCAGAGAGTATATATCTGGCAAGCAGGATACTACACCATTGTGCATCTGCTTGGGGAAGACCTCACAGTGCTGTGGGACAGAAAAACCACTGTACATATACAAGCTGGACCACGCTGGCAGGTAAAAAACACACACACAAAGAAGGTGAAACTGATTCCTGACTCTGCAGTAAGTGTAAACAAAGTTTTGCAGATCAATCATTTGCAGATCAATTTTGATTTCCTTACAAGTGTGTATTTGTGTGTTTATGCTATTTTTAGGGCAAGCTTACTGGTCTTTGTGGGAACTTTGATCAGAAGACAGCGAATGAGATGAGAACACCAGAGAACATTGACTCGTCAACACCACAGGAGTTTGGCAACAGCTGGACAGCAGCAGAGGCATGGCAAACAGATAAACACACATACACTACCGGTCAAACGTTTTTGGAATAAATTGGGATTTTTGAAGGTTTTTGGAAGAAGACTCTTATGCTTACCAAGGCTGCATTTATTTGATCAAAATAATAATGTAATGCACTTCAAATACAGTAACAACAGTAATATTATGAAATTTACATTTATATCCCAGCCAAATTACTGTAATTTAAAATAACTGTTTTCTATTTTAATATATTTTAAAATGTAATTTATATCTTTGATGGCTTCAAATAGAAAGGAGTTGCTTTAAATTGTAATATTGTATTTCATTACTGTTACTGTTTACAGCCTTGGTGAGCATACGATAATTCTTTCAAAAAATCCTAATTATTCCAAACTTTTGACCAGTAGTGTATGCAAAACACGAATGCACACTTTTATCTAACTCCCTTTGTTAGATGACTAAACGTGTGTTTTTGCCCTTCAGAATGTCTCAGATCTGGCAGTAGCTACAAATCAAACACTCTAATCAAACTATTTACACTGACTGTGTCTGTTTGTGTGCATGTCCCATCAGTGTGTGAACAGTCCTGATATAAGGCACCCCTGCAATCTGAATCCTCTTCGAGAGCCCTTTGCAAAAAGACAGTGTGGGATTTTGCTCAGTGAAGTGTTCCAAGTCTGCCACCCTGTGGTAAGCTGATCCCAAATACCAGCAGACATTAATGCTCACATTCACATTAAAATGAGTTAAAATGTACATGTGAGTGAGAGAGGGTTTCTGTGTTTAAAGGTGTTTGATGCTCTGTAGGTAGATGTCACATGGTTCTATATGAACTGCCTGGTCGACACCTGTGGCTGCAACCGTGGAGGAGACTGTGAGTGTTTCTGCACGAGTGTTGCAGCATATGCTCACCGCTGCTGCCAAAAGGGCGTCACCATTGATTGGCGCTCCCCCTCTGTCTGCCGTGAGTGTCGCCTCAGCCCAGTCATATTACTAGAGTCAATCGTTGTAATAATAACCAATAACTGAATATATAACGGTGTTGGTGAATACACATTCTTCTAAAAGACAATGATAGTACGGAGGAAGAAGGAACTGAGCGATCTATATTACCGTTTTTCATCACATGGTACTGTGTAATGAGCAATACAATATGCTTCTTCTTACAGCTTATGACTGTGAATACTACAACAAAGGTACATCTGTAGTTTTTTAATGATAATGATAATGTCTATCTCAGAAACTCTCTCAGGCACCTCTACAACAAGCAAGCCAACAGAGTCTTTGACACTTTTCACACGTACCACAACTATCCCCTCACCATCTACTTTTAGTCCTACTCTGTCGTCTACCTCAAGTAAAGAGCCGATCAGAGTAAGCACTCTACCTGTGCTTCCAGTCTCAACCAGCATAAGCTCCACAGAAGCCACTTCCCCAACAGTCAAAGTGTCATCTCCTCTCACCTATAGTACTGAGAACCCCAGAGTCTCTGAGGCCTTTATACCTACTGAAAAGACCACAATGCCCTCTGTGACTTCAAGTGGCAGCACACAGTTTCCTGTTGAAACCATCAGCATGACAAAGTCCACCTCATCATCGACCACAACACCTATGTTAGAATTGAGTACCTCTGTCACCACAGAAAAATGGACCTTTCCGTCATCTTTACACACTGTGAAGACCCCTGGGAGCACCTCTGAAACCCAGAAGCCTTTGGACATCACTACCATTTCCACTTCCCCTACAGATATTGAAGCATCAACCACTCACATTACAGTAAAATCCACAAGTTCTGCTTTTCCAACACCACCTTCAGTTCAAACGCCACTTATTCCTTCAACAACAACCTCAGAGCAACCCAAAACTTCAAAAACAACAGTGTCTGTTTCCACAGCTGCTACAACAACCTTCATCACCACAGTGTCCTCTCAAGCTGCATTTGTGCCAACAGAAACTACAGCAAAAACAACCTATCAGCCAACATCTATTATATATCCTTATCCTGATGTTCCAACAACTGATGGAACATTGCAGACAGATTGGAGAGTGATCCAAACCACATCAACTCTATCACCAGAAACAACCCAAACCAGTGCCAGGACAGCAAAGACACCACTTACCACCTACACCACCATGCCATTCACCTCAGCACCTACAGAAGAAACATCAACACTGCTTACATCACATGTGTCACCCGTTGACAAAACAACTTCTAGAGTTGTCTCAGCTTCTACTATGCTGAGCTCTACAGAGTCTCACTGGAGTTTAGTTTCCACCACTGCTCTCCTTTCAGACAAAGTCAGCACATCACCAGTTCATCCTCCTTATTCTATGACAACTATGACCACCACATCTGAACTGCCTGAGATTTCTCCAGCTTCACCATCCATACTTACAATGGCAACATCAGTATCTGAAGCCCCAACAAAAACCACAGAAACAACCATCACTTCTGAGAAACCTCTGCTAACGTCTACTGCAGCTGAGGAGATTGTTTCTACCACTCAAACATCTACAGCTAGACCTTGGAGTATACATACTATCACCGAGACAACTAGGGTTTCTCTTGACACAGATAGAGCTGTGCTGTCAACCACTGCGACAACCCAGACGTCAACACTGGTCCATGAGACCTCCAGCACCTTTCCCTCAATGACTTCAATGACAATGATTCCAAAATTCACAACCCGTGTCACACCAGTCTTGACCTCACGGGTGGCTGTGGCTACCACACGGCGAGAAACTCCATGGGTTGTGGCCACAACCAGCATTTCACTTCCAACTAGGAATGCAACGACATTGACAACACCTGCAACCACTTATACAGATAAAGTGACCACTGTTTCCACAGATATAACTACTTCTAGTATCCCTGTTGCTGCTTCTAGCACTCTTCCAACACACAGTCCTGACACCACTGAATACACCTTTGGATTTACAGAGTACACCACTGAATCTGGTCCGACCACAACACTGCGATCATCAACTGGAACAACTCCAGTGCCTAGTGTGGCATCAGTTGTTACCCAGACTACCATTTCAACACAGCCCCCTATTTCCTCTACTGTCACTGAGAGTAGTCCCATAACCAGTGCAAGTGCCTCTACTGAGCGCCCTCTGGTGGATGAACACACTACAGTCACAGCCATGGCACCTGCTCCAGACACTGCCCAAACAACACTGAGTTCATCTGTGATGACCACTCTTCCCTTCACGATAGAAACAGGGCACTGGATGACGAGCCAGACACATGCAGTTTTAAAAACTACTGCTCTCGAGCCAAGCAGAGTATGCACCGTAAGTCAATTATAAAATAATTTTATATAGTATTAGTTGTTTTTATTTACTTTTGTGTGGTGGTATGAACACATGTTAAATATATATGTATAGACTTTGTAAATTTTGTATAACAAAAGTCAGTTATTACATGCTAAACTAAATAATGTGTGTGTGTGTGTGTGTGTGTGTGTAGTCTCCATATTCCGAGGTAGTGGATAAATGTACAAAGCTTATTTGTGTCAGTGGCCAGTTGCTCCTCTTCAATAAGTCTCAGAGCTGCCCATATGATGCTACACCTCCAAACTGTGGTCTGCTTGGCTTTGCTGTGCTGGTCAATGGTGATAAGTGTTGTCCACGATGGGACTGTCCATGTGAGGAACACCTGCATTACACACATTACTATGATCTTTTCTAGTCTGTCATTTGTTAGACTATTGAATGTTTATTAAGATATACATTTTATTTTGGCATGTAGGTCGTTGTTCAGTGTTTCCAGATCTTAATCTGATCACATTTGATGGGAAAAGTGTTGCGATTTATAAAGCTGCTTTATATGTGGTGACTCAGCTTCCCAATGAGACTGTTAGCATCTTGGTGCAAGAGTGTTCTGGACCAGATGACACTGTAAGATATGCACAACTCCATTGTTTTGCCTAACTTCAGGATAGCGCCTCACAACTCAAGTGATATATTCTATTCTATTTGATTCCAGCTTGTGTGGAACTTTACCCATTTGTGTCTGGCAGCTTTAAACATTACTCACAAATCCAATGAAGTGCTCATCAATCGTCTGCAGAGACGCGTGAGTATCCATCTGTTTGCAATTCTTGGGATTAACTGCCACTTTTGTAGTGGTAATAGATTACAAAAAAAGAGGTTTGAATAAAACTGGACAATTATTATTATTCCAGCCTGGCAGATTGACATGAATGAAAGAGGTTCAGAAATACAATGGGTTGTTTTTCCAGCTATATGTGAACTCCAGGTACGCCAAGCCACGTTTTAAGAAGTTTGGTTTTGAGATTCTGGACACAGGAAACATGTATCTAATCCGAAGCCCAGCTGGTCTGAAGATCCAGTGGTTCCACACTACAGGCTTGATGGTGATTGAGATGGACAGCTATAACAACAGACTGCCCACAGTGGGCTTGTGTGGTACGAAGCCATTAACCACAGATTATATGTTTTGTAAAAATGATCGTGTCATATTTTAATGCCATCTACTTCCTTCATTTTCCTCACTCTCCACCTCTCTCATCTTTCTCTTTGTCACCCTGTCCAGGTAGTTGTGATGGTAATCCTCTGAATGATCTGACTCTGTCTAACGGTACAGTTGTGTCTGAGCAAGAGGATCCGGCCGTGTTCATCGATAGCTGGCAGATTCCCAACACCACCAGCTACGTCAGCCACAGCAGACGGAGGGAGGTCAACTGCACCACGGGCGACTGCTCCCAGTGCATGAGCATGCTGAGCAACCGTACCTTCACCATCTGCCATCCTTATGTACGGCACACAACATGCCCATCCCACTAATACCAAACCTGCAACCACACCTGTGATTATGCACTACATTTCCTGAATGTTATTTTTTTGTGCTGCAGGTCCCACCAGCAATGTTCTGTGAGATGTGGGTGAGAGATGTGGAGTATGTGAATAATCCATGTGTTGCTTTGGCCGCTTATGCTGCTTCCTGCCACAAATTCAACATCTGCATGGAATGGAGGAGCTCTGATTTCTGCCGTATGTAGTCACCGAGGCATACCAACACAGCTTTAAGTAACAATGCTTTCCGCAATTGTATATGGTGTTAAATGCCATTCATTGGCGTTTTGTGTGGTGTGTTTTCTAATGGTAGTATGTTTTCCTGTGTAGCATTCATGTGCCCAGATAATCTGCAGTACCAAGCATGTCTGCCTGCTTGCACTGCCCCATCCTGCCCAAACCAAGAGTTTGAGTTTGTCCCAGAGCAATGCACAGGCCTTTCAGAGGGCTGTGTGTGTCCAGAGGGAACTCTATTACACCGGCCCTATTCTGCCCTATGCATTTAAGACTTGTACAATAGATATGAGCTATTATATAAAAGTCGTTTTGACTTGTTCATTACATTCCAAGTCTTTATAAGTCATGTTCTGTGAGTAAATAGTGGGTAACAGTTTGAGTAAATTCTTCCTTTAAAACTAATTTCCACCCTATAATCATTATTTGATTTCAGCCTACCTAACCTTTGACAGGCATGTACTGCATTAATGTGTATAATGTAAATCTTTAGCACAATCGTTACAATTGATTTGTGTGTGTGTGTGTGCGTGTGTTTATTATTGTGTTAGTGTGTGACAAATGTTCTGAGGCAGCTCCAGTGTGTCAAGATGGAGAACTGTTGATTGTGGACACAAACAGCACAGAGTGCTGCTGTCCAGTTTATCACTGCTGTGAGTACAAACACATGATTAAACATACCGACATTTACCATTTTTATTCCTAGTGGTAAATACAACCAATAAAATCAGTTGAGAAAATTGTGAGCTAAAGCTTATAGTAAGCCAGTTACAGTAGAAAAATAGAACAACAACCATTATCCACAGGAGAACAAGTAGCCTAATGTCACATAAAAACTGACAGCCCTCAAGCTCCACAAAATGATATATTTTCAACACACCACATTAGTTGAAGCAGGGAAGTGTTATTGTAACTGTGTTGTGTGTGTATATGTATGCAGTATGTGAGACGTCTCGATGCTTAGACATCACATGTCCAGTTGGCATGGCAGTAGTTTCCACAAGGATTCAAGATCAGTGTTGTCCATTACATACATGTGGTAAGACCATCAAGCTAATAATTATGTTGTCTAAGTTTAGAAGTATTTACTGTGCATTAGATTGTCATTGTTCAAGTGATATCAGTGTGAGGGTGTGTCAGTACTGTTTATGTATTGCTTGTCTGTGTTTGTGTGTGTCTGTGAATGTGTGCTAAAGAAACAGAATGCAATTCTGTATTAAGTGTGCGTTTCTGAAAAAGACTAAAGCTCCTCTCTCTCTTAGAATGTGCATGTGAGAAAAACCTTCGTCCTAAATGTGCTATGGTGAGTGTCCAGAAATTACTGTATCCAAATGACCATGTATTTTTGGCGTACATTCCATTATATATCAGCTGAAAGCTGAATCAATACGCTTTCCATTGATGTATGGTTTGTTAGGATAGGAAAATATTTGGCCGAGATACAACTATTTGAATATCTGGAATCTGAGGGTGCAAAAAAATCTAAATACTGAGAAAATCGACTTTAAAGTTGTTCAAATAAATTCTTAGCATTGCATATTACTAATCAAAAAATAAGTTTTAATATATTTACAGTAGGACATTTACAAAATATCTTCATGGAACATGATCTTTAATTAATATACTAAAGATTCTTGGCATAAAAAAAAAAAAAAATTTTGACCCATACAATGTATTTTTGGCTATTGCTACAAATATACCCAAGCGACTTAAGACTGGTTTTGTGGTCCAGGGTCACATTTGTGTCTGATCAGGCTCTTGTTTGGCTGGTTGGTTCATATCTGATATCAGATGTATTGTGTTGTAGGGGGAAAGTATGCAGTTAGACAGAGCATTTCTGTCTGATCCAGAGAACCGGTGTGCCTGCAAACGATTCGTTTGTGGTGAGAACCCACATGTCTGTCGAAAATGCTCTGAAAATACATACATAAAAAAAAAAAAAAAAA